ACGGTTAGCCCGTTTTCTATTGAAGGTACTCAAGATGCTTAAATTACTATGTTGTGCTAACTCTGCTAATAACTTCCTCCTGACATTTTTAGAACCGATGGCATACCCCCCACTGCATGGTCTCTGGCCTGTTTCTTGCCAACTTTGTCATTAAAGTCCTCCATCAGAGTATTATACTGTCCTTAATTATTACCTGACTCTGTGTTCTCATAGAAGCGTTCAACCAAATAATTATCATATCTCGATGTAGGCACGTGGGCCTGTACCAGCATCATCGTGTACCTTTTGTTAAGCTAATTATGATACTTGCCACCCTCTCACTGATGCTGTAGTATTGCTCTATGCTGCCAGCAATATTCTTGTCTATGAGAAACCCCACCCCTCTTTCTTTTTTGTCAGCTAACCCACGGTAGCATGTCCGTTCTTCAGCACTGCATTAAGCCTAATGTGTCCTCCTAACTTCGCTGAGCCTGATTACTTCTCATTGAACACCCTCTGATTCCTCGAATAGGACAGCTACACTAGCCTAGCTATACAGCGCTCTAGCGTTGAAGGTAGTCAAGTTGAGAATCCAATGGCGGCCTGGCCGGACCCAGGGATTTTTACCATACCCTCCGCTGCGTCGCAAGTTTGACCACCACTGTGAACATTTGCTTCACAGCCACTGGGGACTGAGAGCCATGAGTTAATTGCGGTGTTCATGGGAAGTTGTGGCCAGGTACTACACCAGAGTGGCCAATCCTGCTCTGGTAAAGGAGTGAATTATTGGCAGGTGGTCGTCAGCGAGGCTGCACCCCAGAACCCCTTCTTTCCCTTCTTTCTCGAGATGATTCTTTCCTCGCGCATTTTAGGTAACTATACGATTGGGAATGGTGTGCCATCTCCATCACCACCAAATTTTGTCATGGCATACTAGGCTGAGTCGCTATCTTTAACCAGGAGGTTCTGTTGCGCCTCCATAGCATTGTAGAATACTACCTGACCACCTATCAACTCCCATCCTTATCTGACTTGTAGCTTGCCTCAACTTCTTCTCTTAACTGTTTGAAAATATATTTTGCTGAAAAAAAGCACCCTGTGTGGTTTAGAACTTTTGACCTTCCGAGCTTAGGTCGGATTAGTGCCTTGAGTGTCCTTTTCACGCATTTGTTCTCTCCTAACTTCTTCCTGTCTCGATAGATATTGACATTGTTGGCTTCAGAAAGTTCGCAATGTCGGAGTTTCGTGTGTATGTTAAATAAAGGTGATTGTATAAGGTGTTCAAAGCTGAGTAATAATAATCAAATTTTTCTGCCTCATGCACCTCCAAGAATTCAGCCAAATTTTGAATTGTTTGCATTTTTTCTGTTGCAATACTGCACTGTGTATGAATATTTGGACAATGAATACTTACTCAACAGAAGATATCATTTGTAGAAAAGATACATTTTGACCACTGAAGTTGTCGAAATTCACAGAAAAACGCTAATTTCACAAAATCAGATTTTTTTTCTATATTGAGACGTGCTTGGCACTATGTGCTGGTCCAGTTAAAAATTACCTTTAGATCTAACTTGAAATCAAATGAACAGTTATTTTTAAGTGCCAAGCTTTATCATTACGTTTTTTGTTGGAGGAAAGAATGATTTTCGAAGTTTCCCATAATGGCAATAGGGAACTTCAAGACAAAAGCTGTGGTATGACCAAATGGAAATACAGTCGTCATTGGAAATCTCCAAAAATTATTTTCTTCCTTTTAACAAATCCTTTAACAAAGCTGGCCACGTAGAAAGAACTGTTCATTTGCTTCCGAGTTAGGTCTAAAGGTGATTTTTAACTGGACCACCACATGGTGCCAATCGCGTCTCAATATGGACAAAAATTTCAATTTTGTGAAATTTGTTATCTTTTCCCGGTAATTTCGACATTTTCAGCGGCCAAATATATTTTTTCTACAAATTTACCTATTGTTGAGTAAATATTCATTGTTCAGATATTCTTATAAATTACAGTATTGCAACAGAAAAGTGAGAATATGACACAATTTGGCTGAATTCTTGGAGGCGCATGAGGCAGAAAAATTGCATTAATATTACTGAGCTTCAAACACCTTACACAATCACGTTTACCTAACATGCACATGAATATTCGTACAGAAAGAAAAAGTGGTACCTTTAAATAAATGTTTTCCCAATCAACAGACAGAGGGCATTCTAGGAAGTTCAGAAAGCGCCGACGTTACCAAAAGTTTTTTCTGTCCAAAAGATTCTAGCAATTCACTTTTCTGGATGCAGTATATAAACACAATTTTTTTAATACATTTAAGATGGTTGCCAAAATGGCTGGGACGTTTGTCGTGGTATGACCCAGAAGTCAGTAGAACCTCCGGGAGACCATAACATAAATCTGCTGACATGTAGTTCATTCGGGGGAACAGTTTTAACATCCATCGCGGGAAAGTTGGCAAGGACGTCCGTCTCAACTTAATGCGACAGGGGCCCTAAAGGCCGCTCATATACCGCGATGCGACAAATGCTGACACTAGTGAATACCGTTGTAACAGCAAGATAAACGCAATACGAACATTAGATGTAGTGCGGGTGCCCAATAGCGCATTACATGCACGCTAGTCTAGTGAACCGGTCACTTGGGTAGGGTTCGCCAGCACTGTTGCGCTATTCCTGTAAATTTCGTGGTTACAAATGTTATTCCGGGGGAGGCGGGGACTGATTTTAGGTGAAAAAAAGAGAAAAGTGAGCCCCGTAACTCTCCCTCAGGGGGAGGACACTTTAACAGTAGGTCACGAGGGATAGGGATAGAGAAATGATTAAAAGGATATGAATAAAAGGTAAATAGATAGAGAGAGAGGTCGGAGAGAGTGAGGCGCAGAGATAGCAATGACGGAAGTAAGGAGAAGACAGGAAAGATGAACACGGCTGCAGGAGTTTGTGAACGGGGCACCACTTGCGAGAGCTCTTGTCGGCGCCAGGAGATAGCGTAGGGCAAGTCTAGTAGGGCAGAGCTTCGCTGTCGTCGAAGATCAGCGTCAGGAGATGGCATAGGGCCAGCCCAGTTGGCCAGAGCTACGCTGACGTCGGAAATCGCGAGGGCACAACCGGTCGGCACGAAATCCAGCAAGTGAGTTCCTTGTCATTCCGACAGTTCTATTCCGACAGTTCGATTGAACGTAGCATAACTGAAAAGCTTCAGTGCTTACCGATAGTGCTTGCCCAGGTTGTCCATTTTCAGCCGCAGCTGTTTTATGCTGTACGGTTCTTTGCCATACGGTAGCCCAGTGTTATGTTCTTTTAGAAATCTTGCGTAAATGCGGGAATTCCACGTGTTCGACCGCAGAGCTGAGAGGTTATCCTCCCACAAGCATATTAACGCTCGCGTTCTGTCGTCTGGCCAGTTGATGCGCTTTTGCGTTGTCATTTTTGCTGACCCTGAAGCACAAGCTGCTGCATCGGTGTTCGCCATCTTGCCTACTACTGAGTTTGCGCTTTGCGAGCATAAACCGTGGTTGCCTAGCTCGGTTTACGATAATCAAGGTTAGAACACTAACCGCGCCTATGTTCACCGTGTAGCTAGCACTAACCGCGGTTAGCCGTAACCGTAGTTAGCTTAACCGCGTTAAAGGCTGTCCTTGTGACAAAGGTATTAGATCACCCGAAAGCCGAGTATCGCTCCATCATAGCGACGCTCGTGTGGTTGTGGGTTTTACTGCATAAGTAATTTGAGGAGCCAGGGCATAAGGGTATTGCCGGAAATGTTCAGGCCAATCTCGTATCTCGAGGACACACTAGCTGAGAAAGACCAGTGGCCAGGAGCGTCGAGGCGGTAGCTTGCACTTGTAGAGACATTCTGCAGCATTTCAAACAAACAAGGCGATATTCTCCGCCCCACAAGAAACTGGAGAGGGAGCAGTGGGTATCCTGGCGGCAGCTACAAACAAATTTATACCCATGCTTACACATTTACAGTAGAACACGCCCAAGACAATACAGAGCCACGTTTTCCTAGTGGGGTGAAAAACCCACAGTATACCACACAACATGGGAATGCCAGAGTATAACGGCAGTACCCGTCGTACACAACACCACGCCGGAGCAGTGGGAGGCTGCGCTGGCCAGCCGTAAAGCATACGACCAGATATGGCTTGTTGAACGCTCCAGAGGGGCAGCAAAGGCCGCAAAAGTCCTTGACTGAGGACCTATTCACAAGCGTACTGCAGAACAACGCTCAGCACAACAGCTCCATAGCCAAATAATGTTTCTTATTTCTCTTAATGGGGAGTTCTTCCTCTAGAGCCAGTATATTAACACTACGCAAAAAGGCAAGCATTTTCAACGCTTTGCTAAGACGACACGGTGGCTACTACCCGTTACTTTGCTTTCTACACCTTGTCGCCTCCTAGGCGGGCGAATACGCCACGCGCTTGCTATATCACAGGTCATCCTTCGTTTTCCAAGATAACTGCAAGATAGCGTTCATGTCTCGCGTGACTCGATGCACTCTTTTGCCTTCACTGCACGGATCGAGGCACTCAGTGCCTCCAGAATCCCATTCACCAATCTTGTCGCGCAGAACATCCAATGAACATTTTGTTCACTTTCTCGAGAGGCAAGGAGGCAAGACTATCGTCTTTTGAAGGATGTTGCAGTGAAGTATGCATATATAGGGCCAATTGTTCACCGTGAACCTTCCCCAACATGCCCACTTATCGTAATAGCTTGCACTGCCCAATTTTCCGCTACTGATGACAAAATACTTGTGGGTTATAAATTCGCGACATTGGTTTCTGAGGCGCAGTGAATATTTATTCAATGCCTGCAGTCTTTTTTCTTACGTAACCAATTTCTGTGAATCTATGTCAAGCTTTCCAAGCTTCGATTGAACGTACCTGTTGCGGCAGTGGTGACAATTTAGGCTCTGTGTAAAACACAATCCATTAATATTGGGCCAGCGAAGAACCTGCGCTTTTCATAGGTACACGCCGGATCAAACGCTTTTCCTCGCAGGGGAGTTCGCCGAGGAGGAGCCTCACCCGTGCGGGGAGTCGGGCTTTGTGTGCGACGCCAGCAAGGGTCACGTGTGTCGCGGCCCCTGGGATGGCCCCAACTTCGGCATCACAAATTTCGACAATTTCGGGCTGGCCATGCTCACCGTGTTCACCTGCGTCACCAACGAAGGATGGACAGGGGTGCTGTACAACGTGAGCAGCCTTTTTCACTGCTGTTCACCACTCTTTCACACTGCCACCCAATATGACAGCTTCAGGCCACACCTCAATGCAGAGCATTGCTTTACACTTGAATGATGGCGCTCCCACCGAGAGTACAGGACAGCGATTGTGGATTTACCCCTCCTAGAATTTTCGGCACTCTATAGTTCTCAACATACTACTGATTAGAAGACATTATTGCCGGCATTTTAGTCATAGTAGCCTCATGTGGTGGCTAGGAAATTATGGTAAAGAATAAGCTGAGAAAACAGTCTTACTATAGTAAAATATATAATTTACTCGTTTAAATGAAGATTTTTTGTAATAATGCCTGCATGACGTTGAACTATATAGTAGTGCAACTGTTACACAACTTGTTGCAGTGTTTTGTATTTCGTTATTAACTAGGACTCAAAGAATCGTGTAAAATTATGCTGCTATGTTTCATCACCTTCCTCGCGTGTAGTGGCGGCTAAATTATTCCTCAAAAGAATATGTATAAGCCCCTATTACTCGAGATGCTGAACGCATCGATGCGTTCATCCACGTGGCCCTCATCATTTTCCAACGTTTCAAAAGTAAGAACAGCAAGCTCATGAAATCTGGTGCAACATCAAATTAAATACTGGCCATTTTAAGTGAACAGTAGCTATGTTTCACTTCCTCAGAACGCCGTTGTTTGCGTTGACGCGTGGGGCGGCGTCGATGACAACGACTAAAAGTAAGCACACTGTACATTTCAACCCTGATTGGCTGTTGATGACAATGGAAGAGCAAACAAGCCGTGATATGACACATTTTTAATATAGACAGACATTATGTATACTTACCGGAATTAACCGGGTAAATGAATTCTGTATGCAAATTTACGGAGGCGCTGATGCATGTGGGCCATGCAATTTTGTAGCCCAAACAGCCTCTCAGATTTGTAATATACCACATCACAAATGATACCTGGTGTTGAACCATGTTAAATTTTTAGCGTGTTGTTCTACAATCGAAAGTTACAGTAAAGAAAGAAAACTGCTGGCGGAGAGAGGAGGGGATGTCTGGTGCGTCCTGCTCTCGAAGGTACAAATGATACAAGGTTGGATGCCAACAGGGCAACTTTGGAAAGCTGGCATAATCACGTGTTACTTGCTCGAACGCGAAGCACAGCAAACTGCGAGGGCGAAAAAACTGAATTCAGCGAGCGCTGAACCATAACTGACAGTTAACTGTGGACGCAGTCATTTTGAACTTTTAGATCACATCCAGATACGTCTTAGAGTTGGGAAACCAAGCCATTTAGCAGGCAAGACAATCAGCCATTCTTGTTCTAGAAAACAACAGTGCTCTTGAAAAACACAATAAGTCAAGCCAAGCGATAGCCGAGTGATATCGCATTCCCGTACAGATACTGTTGCCAAGGGATGTGTACCACTCGGAATGTAAACGCGAAGAAAGAAAACTGAACAAAAAGATAACTGTCTGCTGGCAGCGCTAACAAGGGAAACGAGCTCTTTAAGTTCTTTCGTACGTGCACATAAGATTGGCCTCAAATAAAATATATGCCTCAAACAGCCAAATATTTAGGACAGTGCATGTAAAGAAGGAAAATTTTCAGATGATTCGTTTCGCTATCTCTTCTGCTTATCTGGTGCACATGCTTAGTCGTATAGGACGCAGTAAACTTTCAGTTGCCAGTCCTAGCTTTTGTCTGTGGTCCATTCTTCGTTTCTCGTTTGCGCTCCGCTGCACGTTCAACCGAACATGTCTGCAGTGGTCATGAGTAAATCTAAACTTTTTATTTCATGGCTGGTGGGTTGGTTGAAACATCATTAGCAAGGAACGTGATTGTCAGTCAGTGTACTCGTGTGTTCAGATAGTACAAGTGAGGTCACATAAATTTCCAGCACTTAGTGGCCATCATAAAGAAAGACAGCAGAATAATACTATTCAAGAGTGTGTCGTGTGGCTGGGGTTTTTATTTTATTACCCAATATTGTGTTTAGATACGACCCATGTCTAACACCTTGTTTCGTCTGGTAAGTGACCTGCTTTCAAGGTGATATATGACCGTAATAACGTTTTTTTTTCTTTCGTTTTCTTGGACACAGATAAACGACGCCATGGGCAACGAATGGCCGTGGATATACTTCATCAGTCTCATCATTCTAGGATCATTTTTTGTTCTGAACCTCGTTTTGGGTGTTCTGAGCGGGTGAGTAGTTGTGAACGATCTCCAAAGCTTTTATGGCAATCCTGGAAGTGCTTTATGGTGATTCGAGTTGATGAAAACGAGGGCCTTTGCGTGAACACGTGAATTTTCTGATGCATGCACTGCATTATATTGAGCTGTCTTCCAGTCCAGCGAGAGCTCTAAGGTCTGCTCCGGGAACCCAGGGCGCTTTTAAAAGAAACAGGATGGTCCACATACGCTGAGTACTGCATGAAACGAAAAGATTTACAGTGATTTCTTTTAAATATCGGCTGGACTCACGACGGCCTCAATAAAGAACACACTGTTTGTCCTTGGCGTTACGCCGCTGGTCATTAAACCGATCCACTACTAACGACTACATACAGACACTAGCACTGTAACGTAGAAGTGTGGCAGCTTGGGCTACTTGGTATGTCATGACGATAGTTATAGCGCGAGAACAGAATGACAACACAGCGACAAGAAGGACACCAAGGACACGAGCGCTAACTTCCGACTGAGTTTATTACGCAGGGCGCTAAAATGTATAGAGGAAACAGTAAACCATGTGACAAATACCATGTGGTACATGGTAGAGCAGTACATGAGTAAGGAAAAAAAGAAAAGCACATAAAAAAAATTGCCCGCAGCTTCCCTCGGGGGAACACTGAGGAGGATGCGGAGCATATAATTGGTTAACGGGGTGTTAAAGTGCGACTTACTTGGGTCGATGGCTAAATTGGTTAACGTGGTTGTGAAATGGGGTGTTAAATTGCGACTTACTTGGGTCGATGGCTAAATTGGTTAACGTGGTTGTAGGAGGGGGTGTTAAATGAGTGAACACGTACACACGTATGCGAAAGGGCGGCGCTGGTCGAAGGGACGTCGATCATTGTGTTTGTGGATTCGTTGGAATTCATTTCACCGCGACCTTGGACGTCGACGCGCCGTACAAACCAACCGACGAGCGGCAACTGAGCGAGCGAGCGCCGACCTTGAGTATATATACAGCACGACGGCGCATGCACTGTCAGCTGTTGAATGTTCTCGAAGCGCGACGCCACATGCGCGTCCACTGGAGAATCAGGAGAATTGTAGATGTCGAACGCGGTGTGTAGAGGAGGAAGGGTGCACAGATGGTGGAGGAGTGAAGCGCGCGCGGTGTGTAGAGGAGGAAGGGATGCACAGATGGTGGAAGAGTGGGCGACGGCGCGACGGCGCATGCGCGCGCGTCAGCTGTCGAATGTTCGAGAAGCGGTGCGGACGGCGCGGACGGCGCACTACAAGGCGCGAGTATAAGATGCTTCCGCATCTAAAAGGCAAATAAAAGTTTATAAGGTAACGAAACAGAAAAGTAAAAGTAATATTGCCACGACATAGTGTCTGCATTCAAACAACGCGCCTATCACCACGCGCACAGAGACATACATGGGCGCCGTCTAGTGTTGCGCAGAGACGATGATGATAGCACGAGAACCCAGCTGGCCCCTGCTGATGTGTGCCACGCGCTTGGGACTCTTCTTGAAGAAGTAGAAGAAGAAGACATCTTGCCGTTCTGCTGTAACGTGCTACGACCATAGTCCCTTTGAGTTGTGGGCACAGGTTCGCCCTTTAATAAATACGTTTTATTATACCCCGAGTCCTTCAACATCGTTACATTTCTGGTGGAGGTGCTGGGTAATGAATCAAAGCCCTACGAACGCAAGACAGCGTAGCCCCGACCACCAGCCAGTTGATACTGCGGAGCCGACACCTGTGCATCAGAGGACCAGTCGCCGTCTTCGAGGTGATTCACCAGAATTCAGCCCACTCCACTTTACGCCAAGGGGAACTCAGTCAATGGACGCCGCCACCATGACAAGTCATGTAACACCAGCCCAAGTGGTGATAAATCAGCCTCACCAGCCACCAGTATTTCATGGCGACTCGTATGAAGACGTAGAAGATTGGCTGAACCTCTTTGAGAGAGTGGCACGTTTGAACGGTTGGGACGAGAGAGAGAAGCTCCGCCGCGTATACTTTGCTTTGGAGGACTTCGCAAAGACGTGGTATGAAAACCATGAAACCTCCTTTACGACCTGGGATGAATTTCGGCGACAAGCTCTGGCGACCTATGCCAGCACGGATCGCAAAGAAAAGGCGCAGGCTGCGCTCGAATCCAGGAACCAACTCACCAACGAAAGTGTCGCAATGTATATCGAGGGCATGATCCGCCTGTTCAAGCGCGCAGATTCCCATATGACCGAAGACAAGAAGCTACGCCACCTCATGCGTGGGGTGAAGCAAGAGCTATTCGCTGTTCTCGTCCGCAACCCACCACGAACAGTTGCGGAGTTTCATACGGAAGCGACAGCCATAGAGAAAACGCTAGAACAGCGGGCTCGACAGTACAATCGAGACATAAACTATGCACCTGCCAATGTCTTCTCTGGACGCCAGCGAAGTGACATGGACGCTCTGCGAGAACTCATCAGGTCGGTGATCAGGGAAGAGCTCAGCAAGTTGCAAGCACCTCACACTACAGCAACACTGTCTGTCGTCGACGTAGTACGAGATGAACTGAGGCAGATGATACGTGAGCCGGAGCGTGCGCCACAGCCGATCCAACGCATACCAACGTACTCTGAAGTACTCAGACAACCCGCGGCGCACACCAATGCAGCAGTTACGATGGCCTCTCCTTGCCCACAAACGGTACGCAGCACACCTCGTCCACTGGAACCGACGGCTACCTACCTGCCACGAGCCCGTGGTGTAGCTCGCTACGTGGATCAAAGGCCCCGGAAAAGTGACATCTGGCGTGACCATGAGCGCAGGCCTTTGTGTTTCCATTGTGGGGAAGCAGGTCACCTGTATAGGTTCTGCCCTTACCGACAGGCAGGATTAAGGGGCTTTCCGTTGTACGCACCATGCCCTCGAAACGGTGAACGGCCAACGGAGATCGAAGAGTACTTGTCCGCGCGCCAGAGCCCACTCACTCCACGCCAACATCAGCCAAGATCGCCGTCGCCCAGGCGTTACCGATCACCCAGCCCACGTGCTTCTTCCGCACGGTCTGGGCACCGTTCTACAAGCCCACACCAGGAAAACTGAAGCAAGCGACCTGTGGAGGTGAGGCCGCTGATAACGACAGTTGCGAAGATCCTCCATTGCGGTTTCAAGGTGACGATGCTATGTTTACAGAGGATAAGCGCAGCAGTGCGAAGATTACTTCAGATTTGCGGTTGAAAATAGACGGATACGAGCTGAATGCTTTAGTTGACACCGGCGCTGATTATTCGGTAATGAGTCACAAATTGGCAAAGAAACTGAAAAAGGTTGTAACAAAATGGAGTGGGGCACAGATACGCACGGCAGGTGGCCACACCATTACACCGCTCGGCAGATGCACCTCAAGGCTCGAAATAAGAGGCTTTACTTACGTTGCTGACTTCATCGTGCTGCCGGACTGTTCAAGGGAGCTTATACTAGGAATGGATTTTCTGCAAGCCAATGGAGCCATAATTAATCTGCGCAGATACAGTGTAACGTTTTCGACAGAACAAGCTATGTCGGTGGAGGAATCGGAAAAGCGACGTCTTACTGCTCTGCGCGTTGTTGATGATGACGTCACAGTGCCACCTCGCTGTAGTGTAATGGTGCTTGTTGAAAATAAGGCATTTTGTGACCACGAAGGAATAGCGGATGGAAACGTAGAGCTATTTTTAAACAAAGGAATTTGCGTGGCGAGGGGTGTTGTTCACTTAACGAATGGCCGCTCAGTTGTCCTCCTTACGAATTTTGGGAATGAATGTCAGCACATCGCGCAAGGTATGGCTATCGCCTATTTCCACGAGTTCTGCATGGCGACTGAACTATGCAGTTTAGCGACAACGCCAACCACTCCACAAGAGACCTGCAACGTCGACGCATCAGTTAACATCAACCATAGGCTCCCAGAATATCAAAAGAAACGATTGTTTGCCCTGATAAAAGAGTTTTCGGACTGCTTTTCAACGTCCTCTAAGGTGCGACGCACGGCTATTGCAAAACACAGGATTATAACAGAAGAAGCCACGAGACCGATTTACCAACACCCATATCGAGTATCGCAAAAGGAAAGAGACGTCATCAAGAAACAAGTGGAGGAGATGCTTTCAGATGACGTGATCCAGCCTTCCAGCAGTCCATGGGCGTCTCCCGTAGTGCTTGTTAAAAAGAAAGATAACAGCCTTCGATTCTGCGTCGACTATCGGAAACTGAACAGCGTAACGAAACGGGATGTATACCCTCTGCCGCGTATCGATGATACACTCGATCGACTACGGAGTGCGAAATACTTCTCCTCCCTTGATCTCAAGAGCGGATATTGGCAAATTGAGGTGGATGAGCGCGACCGTGAAAAGACGGCATTCATAACCCCAGACGGACTCTACGAATTTAAAGCGCTTCCATTCGGCCTGTGCACAGCGCCAGCTACGTTTCAGAGAATGATGGACGCTGTCCTCGCGGGACTGAAATGGCAGTCCTGCTTGGTGTACTTGGACGACGTTGTCGTATTTTCCGCTACATTCGACCAACATCTAGAGCGACTCCGCACAGTATTAGAAGCCATTCGTTCAGCAGACTTGACCATCAAGCCAGAAAAATGCCACTTCGCTTTTGAAGAGCTTCGATTCCTCGGACACGTCGTCAGCTCCGACGGCGTTCGGCCAGATCCCGAAAAGACAGCTGCCATCGCGAAGTTCCCGACACCCAAAGACAAGAAGTCAGTACGTCGCTTCCTGGGTTTATGCGCGTACTATCGGCGATTTGTGGAAAATTTTTCGAACATTGCTGAACCACTTACTAATCTGACAAAAGACGAGGTGCCCTTTAGGTGGGAAAGTGAACAACAGGAAGCATTTGATGAGTTAAGAACACGCCTGCAAGCCTCTCCAATCCTCGCCCACTTCGATGATACTGCCGAAACTGAAGTTCACACTGATGCAAGTAACGTCGGCCTCGGAGCCATTCTAGTCCAGCGGCAAAACGGCCAAGAAAAAGTGCTAGCGTATGCCAGCCGCAAGCTTTCGAAAGCTGAGACAAATTACTCTGCAACCGAAAAAGAGTGTCTCGCGGTCATTTGGGCCATAAGTAAATTTCGGCCGTACCTCTACGGTAGACCATTCCGAGCAGTAAGTGACCACCATTGCCTGTGTTGGCTGGCGAATCTTAAGGATCCCTCTGGCCGACTAGCAAGATGGAGCCTTAGGCTACAAGAGTACGATGTTACTGTGGTATACAAATCTGGGAAAAAGCACAGCGATGCCGACTGCCTGTCACGCGCACCAGTGGAGACGAGTGAGCCGGAGGAAGAAGACTTCCCGTTTCTAGGCGTCGTCCAGGCATCAGAAATCGCTGAACAACAACGAAATGACCCCGATTTGCTGCCGCTTATACAGCGTCTCCAAGGACTCAACGTTAAAGTCCCGCGCACTTTATCCAGAGGACTCCCTTCGTTCTGTCTTCGGGAAGGGGTCCTTTACAAGAGGAACTTCAAGCCTCATGGTGACAAGTTTTTACTCGTTGTACCTGCACCTTTACGAAACGAGATTCTGCACGCATGTCACGATGAGCCAACATCTGGGCACATGGGTGTCAGCCGTACATTCGCCAGAATTCACCTAAAATACTACTGGCCAAAACTGTTATCATCAGTTCAGCGCTATGTGAAAACTTGCCGTGAGTGTCAAAGACGCAAAACTCCATCCGTGAAACCTGCAGGCCTCCTCCAGCCAATAGAACCACCGCATGCCCCATTCCAACAAGTTGGTATGGATCTCCTAGGCCCGTTTCCGACATCGACTGCACACAAGAAGTGGATAGTCGTAGTCACGGACTATCTCACTCGCTACGCTGAGACTGACTCGCTGTACACTGCAACAGCTCTTGAAGTTGCCAAGTTCTTCATCAACAACATAGTCCTCAGACATGGTGCACCCAGCGTGGTAATTACAGATCGTGGCCCAGCTTTTACTGCAGACCTAATGAAATATCTGATGCGAATGACCCACACAGACCAGAGAAGAACTACAGCATACCATCCTCAAACAAATGGCCTAACGGAGCGCTTGAACAGAACTCTGACTGATATGCTTTCAATGTATATCGACGTCGAACATAAACTGTGGGATGAAATATTGCCCTACATCACGTTCGCATATAATACAGCCGTTCAAGAAACAACGCGAGTGACACCATTTGAACTTGTATTCGGCCGAAGAGTCACCACTCCACTGGATGCCATGTTACCACTGAATGATGAAAGCAGCAATCCACCTGGCCTAGACGACTTCCTGCAAAGAGCCGAGGAAGCACGACAGATGGCGAGATACAGAATACGGCGCCAACAACGTATCGACTCCTATCGGTACAATCAGCGTCGTACCGAAGCGCATTTTCAACCAGGTGACAAAGTATGGATATGGACCCCAGTGCGTCGCCGCGGACTTTCTGAAAAACTTTTTAGCCACTACTTCGGGCCTTACGAAGTACTCCATCGTGTAAGCGATGTAACTTACCAAGTCAGATCCGCTATACACGGGAGCTCAAAACGCCGCAACCCTACAGAGGTTGTACATGTAGTCCGGATGAAGCCGTACTATGAGAGATCACCGGAAGACCAGTGACGCCTACGCCTACCACGAATCTATTCATTGCCTGACGCATCGGGACGATGCGTGTGAGGAGGGGGATTATGCCACGACATAGTGCCTGCATTCAAACAACGCGCCTATCACCACGCGCACAGAGACATACATGGGCGCCGTCTAGTGTTGCGCAGAGACGATGATGATAGCACGAGAACCCAGCTGGCCCCTGCTGATGTGTGCCACGCGCTTGGGACTCTTCTTGAAGAAGTAGAAGAAGAAGACATCTTGCCGTTCTGCTGTAACGTGCTACGACCATAGTCCCTTTGAGTTGTGGGCACAGGTTCGCCCTTTAATAAATACGTTTTATTATACCCCGAGTCCTTCAACATCGTTACAATATAACTACTTGCGCGCACCGATATCTTCTAGGAACATTAGTTCCTTCTCGGAGAGACAGACGGGGAGCTTGCTAACGCAAGACACCTCTTCGCGAGCCATCTGCGCGGCCTCGACGATGACTCAAGTGCGCTGGATTGCGTTAGTAAATAAAGTATCACTGGGTTGCGTTAATAAATCACGCTAAACTATTATAACATCGCAAGAACATCAGATGGTACTGAGGGAACGGAGCACTTTGGCCTCTCTGCTTTCCTCTCTAATGCTCGGACAATGCTAATAAATAATCAGCATATGGCACCTATTGGTACTTCATTAGCTCCCCTGAGCTTTAATTTGAAATGAAACGGTGGGACAGGACCGCAACAACAAAAATGAGATCATATCCGAAATTGTATACGTTTTCAAAGGATTCTGCCAGTCATTTAATTGGAGAATTTTCGAAAGGTGTCCTAGATACACAACACACGAAGGCCTTCTTTTTTGGCTAGTGACGTAACCAATACTTAGAAAGGTTTATGTATGTTTCGCTGACATATATGTCAAGTGGATGTCTTGACGATTCGAAAGGAGCCGCAGAATTGATTGATTGAGTTATGCATGACAAATTGCAATAAAAAATTAAGCATAAACATCGAGGAAACCAAACCTAAAGATTTTACTAGGATATTAGGCACAATAAAGGCAGTTTCTATCTCTTTACCAGCTTGCATTCGGCGCGTTTTCCACTGGTACCCCGTAAGAATAATGTTATGTGCCGCCTACCTATAAGACTATCTGGAACAGAATTCAAATGATCGAAAGCCATGAACCCTTTGAACTTTCGCACTTTGCCTTCAGTGTGGTTTACAGAGGAACTTTCGAAATTTCTCGAGTGTCAATAAGTGATAGAGACTTTTCGCGTGATTTCATTTCCTTGGCGATATCTTGGCGTCGCCTCTTCTACGCTGCGTTCTTGCTTCATGCTGCAATTGTTTGCACCCACTGACAGTGCGGCGAACAGAAGCCGCTGTAAGACTTCCATAATAATGAGTGAGCTAATACTTTGTGTTCTTTCCTCCATGCAGGGAGTTCTCCAAGGAGAGGGAGAAGGCCAAGGCGCGTGGCGACTTCCACAAGCTGCGCGAAAAGCAGCAGATTGAGGAAGACCTGCGAGGATACCTCGACTGGATCACACAAGCTGGCAAGCACCCTCCTGCTCGTCTCGCACTCTCCACACACCGTTGTTGACGCACACACCTCGGTGAACTCGTGCCCTCTGACTCGTGTACACCACGGATCAAGCAGTTCGTAAACACAAGGAGCACATCCAATAACTTGAGCAGATGAGGCCAGGAATCGATAGCTCAGCAGAAGTGATGGAGCTTTCTGAGACTCACTAAACAAAAGTATTCTGCTTCGGCAATTCACGTAGAATCACAAACGCTTTCCTAAGCCTGACTCGCACAAACCCACCAACATTACTCAGGTGGACTCAGCATCGATCGAATTAAGTCTGGGTGAGCTTGAGTGAGTCGACTAATGAGTCCGTTAGCGCGAATGTAGCTTATTCGACATTTGCTCAAAAAATACTTTGGTTTGGGCTAGCAGGTTCCTAGTGCTCACTTAAAAAGGGCAGCGCGAAAACACGAGGAAAAGGACAGTAGAGACAAAGAGCGCTGACTAACAACTGAAATTTTATTGCCGTCACCTGTGCATGTATACGTGCCTAAAATGCGAGTGGGAGGAGGTTAAAAGCACAATAAAAAGGCTGGTTTCAACCAGCGATTGAAGAAAAAAAACTGAAAACGATAAAATCTTCAAAGAAATTCGCGCCTGTTGGGTAAGTGAGAAGCACCAGGTCATGACGAAACAAGAAAACTAATAACAAGGAAAATCATATAAAACCTCTAAGATATGTGACTTCCGCGTCAGACAAAGAAAGGGAGGGCGTGCTGACGCACTTGTCACCTGCTTCATGAACGAAAAAAAAAAAGAGCCTCAACAATCTCGCGCTCTATCCTATTCCTCCCCATCTTAAAAATCTGAGTACTTCGAAAGTAACGAGAGCAGCTGCAATGCCTGCGATTGTCAGCCAGAAAACCACTAGTCGTATTACGCACAATATAGGCGTGCTTTTTTCGCCCTTTCACTTAAAACACTTGTCGCTGTCCTACCGAACACTCTGTTTCGAGGAAAAACACAGTCGACTATGGTAAAGAACTTCAAGGATGTACTCTTTGATGCTTCAAAGCAGAAACACCATACACTTCAACTGCTAATGAAATTGAACCTATAGAACCCCAAGGCAATGACAAAGAAAGAAGAGTAAGGCTTTCTTGAAGTATTTTTTACCGTTAAAAGCCGATGTTCCATTTCGTGCTATTGTTTCTGAAGATTCTCTCTGGCAACGCTACGTCAGTTGGTGGCTACAAAATCATCTTCAGGTTTTAGTGAAGGATGATGCCTTCGTCATCCGCAAGTCTGAGGACTTCTTCCTGAACCTACAAGGTTTGAATGCTGGCTCTTTTAATGGCTTTTCGGTTGAGCTTGAAGAATTTTATTATTCTGTGCCACATGAAGGATTGCTTCAGGCTTTTCGAGATAGGGCTCAGGACTAAGGTGTACTTCAGTTCTCAGATGAAAAAGGTGTTTCTGCTGATGACTACGTTAAACACTTAGAGTTTTATTTGGCTTCTCCAGTTGTGAACTATGATTAAAAATTTTATGTTCAAAGAAAGGGCATATGTATTAGTTCGGCTGTGGGTGCAGTTTTGTGTGATCCTTTCTTGTCGGTCGATGTTGCCGTTTTAAGGATACATTGCAAGTACCGCAAGTTGTCAATATCTTTAGGTATGTTGATAATTTTCTAATATTTTTAATTATGCTGAGGACCTTAACATGGTCATTGGTGACGATTCTCATGTGCTTGAGAGTGAAAGTCAAGGCTTGAAACTTACGTATGAAAAGCCTGATAAACGAATGTTGCAATTTCTTGAGATATACCGGCTTTTTGGCGATAACCACATCTGTTGGAAGTATAATACTAGATCCGAGAAACGGTTATTACGTCATAAAAGTGCCCATTCGAAGTTTGTCTAGTGAAGCATCGCAGTGAACTGTCTGCATTCAGCCCTGAATAAGCCGTGTGTACATGTCAATTCATCTAGCTCACAGGTTACCAGATTGAAGCAGGTGGGTTACCCTGCTGAATTAATTTCTGCGGTGTGTGAGACCCTGAGACAGGAACATGAAATGCGATAAAGCAAAAAAAGTTGGTAGAAAAAAGATTAAGCGTTTTCAAGTCATCCCATACGTTCTCAAATGTTCGCACATCTTGAAGAGAATTGCATCAAAGCATAATGTGCAAGTTGTACTGTCCGCGCCCTACAAACTCTCGAGGTTATGTGGCATGGCCAACAGAGGTAGACGCCCCGGGTGCACGACCAAACACAGGAACTGATCCACAGAGTGCATTTCCAATGTAGTTTATAGATTTATTTTAAGTTGTGGAGTTGAGTACATTGGTCAAACTGACAAGTGTTTTAATGAAAAGGCGAAAAACATGACTGTAATGTGCGTATTATGACAAGTGGTTTTCTGGCTGACCATTGCTGGCATTGCAGCTGCTCTCCTAACTTTTGCAGTACTCAGATTTTTAAAATGAGGAGGTATAAGATAGAGCGCTAGACTGTTGAGGCTTTTTTACGTTCATGAAGAAGGCGACAAGTGCGTCAGCAGGCCCTCCATTTCTTTGTCGGATGCGGAAACTAGATATCTTGAGATTTTCTTTGATTTTCCTTGTCATTTGTGCTCTTGTTTTATCATAACCTGATGATTTTCAATTACCACACAGGTGCGAGTTCCTTTGAAGGTTTTATCGTTGTCAGGTTTTTCTTCAATCGCTGGTTAAACCAAGTCTTGTTCTCTTGCTAATAACCAACTCCTAATCACAATTTAGGCACATATTTATGCACAGGTGAGAGCAATAAAATTTCAGTTGTTATTCAGCGCTCTTTGTCTCTACTGTCCTTTTTCCCCATGTTTTTGGGCTGCCCTTTCCAAGTGAGTATTGTTCGACTTGTTGTATGCAAGTTTGGCGCAGGTAGTTTGGTGCAACTTGGAAATCCCACAAGCACTCACACCTTCACCCACTCTTCCTAACGAGAAGCGCACACTTCACACAGCATTCACTACCAACTGTTCATTGCGTCTAACTAAACCGCTTATGTAGGTGCAGGATAATGCGCAAAAGCAATGATAAAAAAGGTGCACATATGGAAAACATTCAACAAGTGGTACAACCGCCACCATCTAGTAAAGCAACAAATAAAAAATCTTAGAAAAAATAAAAACAGATAAATAAGCCAGAAGCACTAAAACCTTGCCGCAAGAAAAGATATGTCTCTTTGTTATAAACAAGGATGGCTCGCTAACAAGATTGTTATTTTTTCCTCCATAAAGTGTGCGTCCAACGGCATACGTGCACTTGATTGCGCGCTTGGTTTGAGAACCTGCGTATCTGTAAACCAGGGTTCATACGCACATGCCACATTATTTTTCACAATCAAACGCGTACAAAATGAATGCGAAGAAGAATATCACGTATCAATGTGGCGTAAAACACATGTGCCAATTCTAGCGAACCCTGTCAATTTTAAGGTGCATGCATTCGGGACTATACTCCACTGCACAAGCGTGTGACTTTCGTACACCTCGTAGCTTTGGTAGTACTGAACTGAAGTGGTGAAACAGCAGCAGAGTACAGGCCTCGGAGATTAGTTGCATCAACGCACCGTTTCTCAAGGTGCGTTGCCGATGCTGATCCTGGAGGTACCGCAAGGTCAAATGGAAAGGCATGAAGGAAGGAAACAACTGAGCAGAAGGCCCTGACGTCACTAATTGTCAAGCTGTAGTGAAGCTGGTAGTCGGCCATATTGACTGCGCAAATTCTCCTTTCTTGTATACATCCTAAATGAATGACGAGAAGCATCATTCACCTCAAGTGTAAAGCCAAAAGAATAAAGAAAAAGCATGCTGACCTCAAATCGATAGCTGATGCTATAGATGAGCTTGCACAGGCTGTGCACACCTCGAAGGAGTAATACTTCAATACGTCACTTGCAAACTTCGTAAAAAATTAATCCAAAAAGTTCTGGAACTATATTAGCAAGAAGAGAAACCAATATTTCAAGTTATTTTTAATGGTTCAGTTATATCTGATCAAGCTGTCGATTGCACAACGTTTCAATTCGTATTTTCAGTGTATTCACAGCTCCCAGTGCCTCCCCACTTAACATAAATGCCGACTATGCTGCGAATGCGAACTTTAATTCTTATCCTGGTGTCATTGCTTTGTTATTAAACTCGAAGACCGAAGCCTCTTACGGACCCAAAAATATCCCCAACATATTTTCGCGTCACTTTGCAGAGTATGTAGCGAAATATTTATAGGTCATTTTTATTGTCTCTTTGTTGTCAGAAGAATTGCCAGAGGACTGTAAGTTGGCGAGAATCGTTCCTATATTCAAAAAAGGCGACCGTCTAGTAGTACCAAATTACCGACCGATATCTTCAAGATCATCATGTTTTAAGCTTATCGAACTCATAATAGCACACAAAAAATAAGTGAATTCTTAAAAGAACAAATCATCAACATGGGTGTTGAAAAGGAATTTCTACTACAAATCAATTGTTTACTATCGTCCACACCTTGCAGCTACTCTTGATGCTGACAAGGTCCGTGATCTCAGATTTGGGTGCACGTTAAACAACTCCAGGTGGTCGAAATTTCTGGAGCACTCCACTGCGGCGTCTTTCATAATCATATGGTGGTTTCGGGACGTTAAACCCCACAAATCAAACTCTTGATGCTAGCGGCCAAACTGATATAATATTCTTGGATTCGAGACAGTTACACCCAATAAATTAACGGTAAAGTTTTGGTTAATTTATAACTGAAATATTTATCTCCTGTATCTCAGCTTATCTCCACAACCGCAACTAATACGTTCAAGTGGGAGAACAGCAATCCGGCTGCCTTCCGGTGACTTCTGGCGTTCCGCAGGGGAGCTTAATGGGCCCCCTAATGTTTTTGGTCTACATAAACGACATTGTCTATGTAATTAGTACACCTGTACAAATTCGTCTATTTGCGGACAATTGTGTTTTGTTCACAGAAGTAACCTGCGTTAGTGACCAGTGCAACCTTAATACTAACTTGGACAATGTCTCAAAATGATGCGAACAATGGGGTATGCTTCTTAATGCAAGTAAATATGTGCATCTCCCTCTAACGCACAAAAAAGCTCCTTAGGCGACACATGCAATTCAACTGAAGCATCTTTGCTCAAAGTAGCCTCCTCTAAATACTTTGATGTAACGTTAACGAGTGACTTATCCGGGAATATACAGATAAATACCATTAGCTCTGCGGCTTTCCGGAAATCATGCTCAAGACTGCCCCGCCTAGCGTTAAACTCCTGTCCTACGTTTCCCTAATTATGCCGAAACTTGAGTACGCCTATATAGCTTTGAATCCCCACAAAAAATTAACGTTCCAAACCTAGAAAAAGTTCAAAGGAAAGTAGTACGGTTCATTTATAGTAAATTTAACTCAACTAACTCCCCCATTGCACTACTAACCGCAAGTAGTATTGAATTACGTAGTATTAGGTAGTATTATTATTAAATAGTAATAATTAAAACACGGAGAAAAAAATGTCATTTAAAGTTTCTTCCCGACATAGTAAACCACAGGCTATTCTTGGACACTGCAGCGTACGTTTTTCCGTTGTTAAGAAAACCTCCTCAGTACCACTATCTTCATTTCCTAACACAAATTTTCGTCAGGACTGACACTTTTCCCAACTCCGTTTTCCCACAAACGATAGCTGAATGGAAAAATCTAACGGAAGTATTCCCCTAATGCCCGTAACCGTTTGTGTAAATACTGTTCTTTTGTTTCCTCCGTATAACGAAGGTATTGTAGCATGACCAAGTTGTTTTTTTTTTTCGCCTTAAAACCAAAGTCATGTTGTAAAAGCCACTTTGCAACTTTGTTTTCTGTTATTGGTAAGTATATTGCTCCCCCTGCTTAGACATTTTGTCCGCAGTATTTTAGAAATAAAATAAAATAAATAGTTGTTTAGCAGAAGGCACGACTTTCTTTCCGGCTAGGCAAGCATGTGGGCTGTGCGGCGTGCGTGTCTTGGCAATCCGAAAGCAGTGAAATTAAGCTCAACATTGTGCCAACGCGATGCCATTGTCGTAATCATTTCGTACGTCGATTAAACAGTGAGTAACAGCTCAGCGAGAAAGAAGCAAGCACATGAGAACGCGTGCTAGATGCACTGACTACGGTGAATGCGGTACCAATGTTTTCACGATATTTGTAATCACGCACCCTATTAGGACAACACGATCGCCTGTGTGTCGCCTTTTATGGTTGCATTCTGTCGCTCCCGCGGCCGACGCGGCGCCCGGTTACCATGCCTGTGTTCCACGTAGGAACTCACCGCCGTCAGCAACCGCGGTGATCTTGAAAATTTAATAAAACTGCTTTTAGAAAAAGTAACATAACTTACATACTGCGATTGTGAATGAAAATATTGAAAATATTTGTTTTTCTGAAATAGTTAACGCTTTGAGCGAGTGCCCCCCCCCCCCCCCCCGCCATCCGAATTCCTGGCTACTGGCCTTACGTAGTGAACTTTGATTTGAAACATGCAGCACTTTTTTTAACAGGTGAGCGATTTTCGTTCACAGTGCTAAGTGCCTTCTCATTGAATAAAGCGTCAGGCAGAATAACAAAACTGCCATCCTTCTCGGCTTGCATTAACAATAGGTTTTTCTTCTTAAAAAAAAAAAAACGACACTACACCAGTCAGTCTCTTGCTACAGATATATTGTCCGGAACTTGGGTCGTGCATTTGCAGAGGCAGTCCATATAGTCTAGAAAGCACCTTTCTCAATCCTGGTAGGCCTTAGTTGAGAAATCCGTGTTCAGGCTGACCAGCTCATGGCGGAAACGGTTGGTGAGACCACATACTTTGGTCCCTTTCGCAGTAGCTTTTCAAAGTCTTCAGGTAGCACTGCATCCTCCAAAACAACGATGTCCTGACCTTATTTCCGTTCTTCCTTTCCCTTGAATCCTTAATAATGGGATGAACACACCCTTGAACCTTAATTTAGTTAGCTGAGCAACAAGACATTTGATTTTTTTCAGTTTATGAGCAGCCAGTTCCCCCGGGTATTCACACTTTTGGATTAGATGTACCCAGTCGCAAAACAACCTTACTTGGCGCCCCACTTCCGCTTTGAGAATTTTCAGTGCTCTTTTGACGTGATCCCAGGAAGACTTCACAAACTCAAAAGGGCACTGACTTCATCTGGTGTGATGGCTTTCCGGATGCAGAAGGCGATAACCTGCTGCTCTGCAAGTGTCTTCCGCATTATAGCATACAAGTAGGTCAGTCATCGCAACTATCCGAGTAAAGGTTTCATAAGCCTTTTCGATCTTAGTTTTAATGCACTTTAATGCCAATATCTCGCTTATCGGTACTCTACGATAAGTCTTTTGATCCTATACATTGCAGGCGTACAAGGCTGCGCCTAGCAAGAGAACTGCCGCATGCCACGAGCACACCTGCGATCGTCATTGTCCTCTTTTTTTAGTAATTAGCAGGCTCGTGGCCGCCTCTCTCATAACTTTTAAATATGGGTTAGCAGTGGCCCAGTGATTGAGTCAGGTCGTTTCTTCAAAATACAACTCAAACGAGATGTTTTTATCAAGAAAGTTTCATGAAAGAGTTTTCGAGGGAAAGTGATTGCACCCATTTCAAGATGCATCTCTGAACAATAACTGTTGAAGTGGTGGATGGACGTCAGTGCGTTGTGACATGTCTGAACAGACTTATGTAAACCTAAACCGAGGTAAGCCTGAGAGTAATACTGAGGATGAGTACAAATGAGTCACGCGACTGGCAGGAAGTAGTTTTCAAACGAAACAGAATTATGGAGCAGATGGCTGCTTAACACTTAAAAGCTCATCGACAACGGCACTGTCCTGGTTGGCTAGTGCAAGGAAGCCACTGCCCCGATGAATTAACGTCTTCATCACGCAAGCACTGGCTGCAGTAAAATTTAAAGATAGTTAAATTTTACTGCAGCCAGTGCTTGCATTAAATTGCCGCAATCACTTGCATTTTACTGCAAGCGATTTAACGATAATTTAGGCTATTTTAGGAATAAAACATCTTTTCATTACTTCTACAAAAAGCATCCCTCTTCAGAAGAATTTCCGAGTGGGCACTCACTTCGCTTGTTAAGAGCCTCTCCAGTTGACACATAACTCCAGTTCCCTGACTATATCCTCGAGCGCGTCTTCACTTCGCCCAGAACTTCATAACCACACAACTTTGCTAGTTGAGAGAGTTGGAACACGTCATTAACATTGGTAATGAGCCCAAAAGTTAGATAGGAGACCAAGAAGAGGAAAAATACGCTGGGTCTGTGTCCTCTCCCTAGTCTCTTGTCTGGTAGTTGCGATCAATAACTGCTTATGTTCAAAACTCCTTTGTGTATTTCTAAATTAGTTGCAGCAGCGAATGAGGGAGGATGCGATGGGCTCACATTGCTAAATGCTGGTCTTTTCTTTTTTCAGCGCCAACAGAATAACGGCTCATGGAATTTCACCAAATTATAATCTTCAAGAATGCCTGCCACCATAGAAAATCGTCCTTTTATTTGGCATTACTTACTGTCTTACAAGGAATGACAGGACAGAAGCTGATCTACGCATTACTATCCATATGAATACGGCAGTTGTAGAGATATACAAAATCTGTGATGGTGGTATATATGGCACTACACGAAGTAGCATAATTCTCACATTGGATACAGATGCATTTCGGGCACAGTGTGCTTCGCACGTCACTGCTGTTCACATGTCTCTGCCACTGCTGCGGCTCCCATTACTACTCACGTAACTTCTTCGTTCAACCACATTCTATAGAAGTACCACTTCATTTAACCAGCCAAAATAATTTACGAAGTGAAAGCCTTTTGGTTAGCTCACGGCTTCGTTGTTTCTTCGTTGTCCGCTACGCCAAATTGTTTGGTTCTATTTTTTTGCTCTCGTTTGCACTAAATTTCAATTTAAAGAGGCCACGAAGTCCCCTACAGTATTGAATACGCCATTCCTTTTTGATTTTGCCATTCAGGGTGAAAGATCAGTGCGTTAATGACCAGAAGTAATATGCCGGCAATGATACGGATGAAATTTAGGTGCAGTCTATTGCAGGGACAGTGTGATGGAAATTTTTAGTGGTTTGATTGTGATGTATTGCAGTCGTACTAGGGCGCTTTCTCCTGAACCTTCGTACTACATTTAGCTATTCGTAAAACCACATATCCCTTCTCAAAATCCTACGGAATAATGCATCTTTGTGCTAGCACATAAAAGCTTTTGTAGGAAATACTTATAAGCTATCCGCAATTCTGCAACAAAATTTCATGCCGTAGGGTTATGTTTTAAGCGTGAACTGCAAATACTTGCAGTTGCTTCTCGTGTTTTTTGTACACGTATAAGTGTAGTTCTTTCACTTTTCATATGAAGATTCCTCCATGCCCTTTTCATGGCGCATCACATAAAACCATTCGTTTATTATGATACCCTCCGCTACTACACAATTTCGACAGAATGTTTCTCATTTATGCGGCCATGAAACTATCCTTGCTCATATGACGGCCTTTGGTATCGTTTTTTTGCTTCTGGCTAATATATCTGAGTATACATACGCTAAGAGGGTGAATCTATTGACTGCTCTTTGGGTGCACGTTAAAGAATCCCTGTCGGTAGAAATTTCCGGAGCCCTCCACTACGGCGTTTCTTATTAATTATATCGTGGTTTTGGGACGTTAAACCCCACAAATCAAATCGATTGACTGCTCATATTACTGCCACTGACACGATTCTTCTGCTGTCATGGCGTCCGTAAATAAAATGATATGTTTTAGCGCAGCTCAGTTTGAGCGTGAAGGAAAGATACTATGCAGTCAAGAACGGGAAAGACAGACGACAGTATGAGCGCTAACTTCCATTGTAAGACGTGTCGATGCACTCTATTCTCTGACCAGTGTGTCATCTTGGGCCACACTCGTAAGCAGTTGATACGAGAATTATTGAGGCGAACAATATCGCAAAATGTGCGAAGCTGTGTGTGAGTATGCCATCTGTGGCGTTATCTCAAAAATAGCTCAAATTTTTATTTTTCTGGAGCGCGTGCTGTGAAGCTATAATATAGAATTGTTAATTGAAAATGAGATCACAACTAGGTTTTCTTGACAGTGTGCTGCGCCACATGTGTACGGTTTTGTCATCCGTGTGGCGTAATGTGGAATGAGCTATATCATGTGTTCTAGGGGTACGCAATAAACAAAAGTTGGAAGTTAGCGCTCACACTGTTGTCTGTCTTTCCCCTTTTTGACTGCATAGTATTTTCCTTCACGCTCAAAGTGAGTGGTGCTAAAGCAATAATGTTTTATCATGCACCAACTCGCCCAGTCAGCAGTTCTTGGCGTCAGTAGCCCGTGTCATGTCTGAGCACTTGCATATGCTACTTTGATGTGTTTCACCAAGATATGTTTCAATAAACAGTACACTATAACTTACGCCTGCATACGTATGCTTTTTCTGCAGAGGACTTAGAAGCCGACGACAAGGAGGCCACCGAGGACCGGCTTAGTAAGCATTACCCTTGTCTGCTTTTCGTTCTGGCATCTGATCTTCTAGCCATGTGTTCAATGTAGATTGCATGCTCGCGCTTTTTAGCTCCCCAGTAGTTACACGCTGTCACACTGAGCCACAAGGAAAGCTCTTTGATGTACTTTACCTCACATTTTCTTTATTACCTAATCATTTTAGAGATGTTTGAATGACTAACGAGATATTTCATAATGATTGCTTTCCTCGTCCATTTGCTAAATTCAGAAAATTTCTCAGCTGCAGAAATGACGAAAGTGTTGAAGCTAGAACGTCAGTGGTTCACACAAGCAGTCCCTGTCAATAATTTCCTCAGCGCGTAATAAAGCCTTCTGCAGTGTAGTAGCATTCAATAAATGCCTGGCTGCAGTAGCGGCAAATCAATAGACTTTCTTTTTTTATGCAATAGTTGTAGACATCATCTCAGTTCATTTCTATCAGAATGCTTGAATCAGGCGTTGCAACGACGCTCTGCTGCATTGTGCCTTAACACTCGTTCACGTCATGATGCATTGGCATGAGAAACACAGCTATGTACGTTGTACGCTGAATGTCACTATTTCCGAGTCCATAATAGCTATATCTCTCTTTCTTGTTGTGCGTGCTTCTTTTTTGTGATACCTTTCTGCTCCTGGTGGTTTTAAACAGTTTTGTGCACCAAACTTGACCTTTGTATACTACTTCTCATTTTGTATAGCTTTGTGTTTGTTAGAAGTGAATTGTCGTTGCTTTCGCCCCCACGCGAACGACGTTGTGTTTGGCCACTGTGGTTTCACCATGTCATTATGTATCCGTGAAAACAATGTGTGTTATGCCTATAAGAAATTATTGGTGTAATGAGTCTTGCCAATTGTGCTGAGGGGGAAAAGATGAGAAATCTAATTTCCCGCACCTTAAAAGTGGTGCCTTAAAATAATACAAATTCAAAAGTCATTGCTAGGGTAACTGATAGGTAACTGATAGATAACTGATTTGCTCACAGTGAACCAGAATGCGATTCTGTTACAACGCCGTGTGCGCCTAATGACAACAAGATAAATGGTGGTTTATTTGGCTTAGTTCATATAAGTTATGCGAATCGACTGCGCGAAGGAACACACACAAGAAGCAAAGAGGCACACTGCACGAGCGCTGTGTGCCCCTTTGTTTCTTGTGTGTGTTCCCCCGCGCTGTCAGTTCGCTGAACGTCATTGCAAGTTAGATAAGATATAGGTGGTAGAAGTAGTTTACACTCACACGTAAAACACAATATCTTACTAGTTTTCATAGTACAAGGCAACCTACAGAAAGAGTCACGCAACAAGTTTGTGTTAAAAATTGTATCCTAATAATTTGGCACCGCGTAGACACTGCATTTACTTGCCTATAATGAATTGCTGCTGCGTATATGATTGTACCTCACTGTTTTTCGTACAACTGCGCAGCCAGTCAAGACACCGACCGGGAGCAACAGCGAGAAGGGGACACGGTGAGCGGCGACGTCGTGGTTCCTTCCTGGTGGACGTCAAAGAGGTGCGTCAATAAAAAAATATAGCAATCATGGGGATATTATTATCAAGTGCGAATGAATTTCATGCAAGAAAAAGGCTAGTAGGTTTCACAAGAATGACCGGGACAAAAACCATAGTGATAGGGTTTGAAAGAAAATTACTAGTAGGCGAAAAACGCACGCTTTCTGAGTCCACTATATGTTCCATTATTTTACAAAAAACACTGGTGATGGAAATGGGACGATAAATCTTAGGAGACGACCGATTACCTTTCCAGAATACAGGGACGACTTTCCCGATCCGCCAGTCCTTTGGAGCTAAACCTGAAAATAGCGATTCCTGATAATGTGACACTGGTTACCTTTTTGGTGTTTTTGAGCAGTTTGGTATTGATACTGTGAGTATACTCATTTTATTCATCTGTACATCATCATCATCATCATTATGTGTTGATCATGCATCGTTCTCGTGTACGAACATCATCATTCTCGGTTGATTGTAGCTGTCAGCTGCTGGGTCCTCGGGCCTAATAAAAGGTCGTCCAAGCCAAGACCTCATACGTGGTGGAGTGTGCTCCTGGGTTTGCCGTCATCCTCGCGACCTCTATAATTCCTGGACCTACGTTGAGGTTGGTGCTTGGGCTAGGTGTCCGGCAATATGTCTCAGCAGGATGAGGTCGGTGCAGTAGCCATTCCCACTCCGCCACCGTGGGTCACACCTTCTCACGTCATTAGCAGCCACCAGCGTGTGCTCCATCTTTTCGCTGGTATGCGCGGGAAAGATATGGAGGACTGGCTGGACAATTTCTAACGTATTGGTTCTGCTAATAGGGGAGATAACACCTACGAAGTTGCTCACGTCTCGTTCTACCCTACGGGTGTCGCGAAGACGGGGTTCTTCAATCATGTGATCGATATCCCCGACTAGGCCACTTTCAAAGACCAGCTTCGTCAAGTGTTCGGCACACAAGCTGTCCCTTCTGCTCTCGGAAAGAAAGCCCTCGCGGCTCTGAAACATCATATCGTGATCGCATCATGTGATCGCATCATGTCACACTAGGTCTTTCTTTCAGTCATTTATTCCCCGCACATCTCATGATTGGAACCGCCTTCCCTCGAATGTCGCAACCATTACTGACTCCAAACTTTTCCACGAAACATTAGCTAACATTGTATAACCAAGAAAATCTGTTACCTATGCTTATTGCTTCTGTTTTTGTATATTTAGAAATAACTATTTTTTATATATTCTGCAGAAATGTTAATATTATCTTATTTTATTGTATTGTTTTATTTGTAATTATTGTATTGTTTATTTGTATTTATTGCACTGTTTTATTTGTATTTTTTATGTATTTACCCACTACCCTCTTTAATGCCTTGTTGGCCCTGAGGGTATTATAAATAAATAAATAAATATCAGTGAGTCGTATACGCCTACAATGAGGATGTTCTTGCACTTTGCTGCCGGGTGAATTCGTCAATGCCAGGGTCGGACAGGGCATGCCACTTTCTTACGAGAATTGCACCTGTCGTATTCAATGCTCTTGCCATCAATAATCCGGCTACCGTTGCTGGCTTTGTCAAGACCTGTCAGCGCCTCGACGAACTCGAGTCTGTTCACCTACAAACGGACAATGACGCAACACGTCCTACAGCAGACTTAAACCTACGTGGCATAATAAGAGCAATCATACGCGAGGAATGTCAATTGATAGGATTCTCACTTTCTTCTGTGATTCCCAGTCAGCCTTCCGCAACGGTTTTGCGCGATGTCATTGGAGAGAAGCTGACGTCGATGACTCACACGGCGCACCTGCAGCCTGCTGCCTCTCGCCCTCCTCCAACAATCGCTCAAATTGCTGCCGCACATTCAAGCCCCATCAGCTGGACGTTGCCACCACCTACATACGCGCCGGTTGCTGCCACGAACCCTCACGCGAACTCAGCCTTCGTCTGTCCATCCGACTGCGCTCTCTGCCGGTGCACCTACCACCAGCTACTACCAGCTATTACGACAGGGGTTTGCAGGCACCGGAGGTCCGGGATGAAGTTGTCAAAGCAGGAGGAGGGGAGACTTTAAGAAGATATATTTACAATATGTACATGGTGAGCTCTGGTTCGTGACGAGCTTTTTCTTACATGGCGAACTCTCAAATCTGGCGTTGCTCTGCATGGTGCTCCTTCGAATGAGCCGGGTGGCTCTTTGTAAAGGGTATCTGCTACCCAGATCCCTAGATCAGGGAACACGTGTATATGGTACTGTCCAATCACGGATCACACACAACTGGCGAGGGGAGCGGGCATGCACAGCCCACGTGAACGTCCAATATTGAAGCGTGACTCTGCACTCCAAGGTGGCGCCAGCGGGCTTCTTCCCCGTCATGTGTGTGCCGCTGGTCGAGGGGTCCCAAGCTCATGACAGCATAGATCAAAGGGTCCGCCGATCTGTTCGCTCGATTAGCGGGGTGATTTGTGGCTGCCGCCGCAGCATCTTTCAAGGAAGCTGCGGTATTTGTTGTCCTCTCTCGAACGGCTTACGGCGTCGTGGCGACACGACGTCTGACCCTCCGGCTAGGAAGGACAATACTGGCTGGCATAGGCAGCCGGCTCTTCGTCTATTTCTTTGAGGATTAAAAGAGTGACGCTGCCTCTTCAGCTCAGGTGCCAGTCACAGCAGCTCGTCCACCGGTGGGAGATTCGACCAGAGGGTGACCAGCTGCACAGGCTGCCCGAAATGTCGTTGTGTGGTGCCGTCTTGTGATACGCAAGCTTGTGATGAGGTCGTTAAGAAACTATTTGGCAAAAAGCTTGGCATTGAGTGCAATCCGGTTGGACGTATACACAGACTTGGAAATCATCCCAAAATTCTGTACCTACAGGATTACAACGAAAAACAAGAAATACTAATGAACGCCAAGAAGCTTAAAGGCGCCAAAATTTTTATCCAAAATGAATACTCCCGCTGCACGCTCCACAGGCGTAAACTGCTGTGGGACAGTGCTAAAGTTGATAGGGCTAACGGCAAGAAACTCTATCTTTTGCAAGATAAGCTCCGTATAGATGATGACACGTTCATGTGGGATGACAGCAGCAATCGCCGTGTATAATTTCCAACCATTACCCTTCGAAGTTTATCACCGGCACTTGAGCCCTCGGAAAGTGCCTGACAAATCCCGCCTCTTCGCAATCAAATCATGCGTCTTCTTAATATCAACGCACGAAACATTATCATCCAAGTTGCTGAACTAGAGAGCACATTGTTAGCATACTCTTCTCACATCTTGGTCTTGACTGAAACCTGGCTGTACGAAGGTGTCAGTGATGCTCAAATTGTTCCTCGCAACTTTAAACTGTTTAAAGAGGACAAACCATCGCGTGGCGGAGGTTACGCCGTTATATTGAGCTCTCATGTGATAGTTACGCCTTTGAAATAAATAGATGGCCATGAAAACTTATCTTTGAAACTAAACATGTTTGGAAATTCTATTTTTTTTTGTAGCGGCCTACCGCTGTCTGACTTCAGAAGATTTCTTGTCTAAAATTTATGATTTCTGTGTTGAATATTCTGGAAGCCGCCTAATACTAGCAGGGGATTTTAGTTTACCCAATATTGATTGGTCCAAACTATGCTCTTCATCCTCAAGTGGCCAGGTTGTTTTTCATTTATTGCTGGCATGTGATCTGGAACAAGCTGTGAATGTGCCGACAAGGGTGCAGGATGGTACATTGTCAATATTAGATCTTGTGTTTTATAGCAAATTCCTTTCTGATCTACATGTATCTGTTGATGGCGGTCTGTCTGATAACAAATTGGTTTTCTTCACATTCCGTCTTGGTCATCAATCTGACAATATGCACGGGAAATAGAATGTGTTCAAAAAATTTTAAAGCCCATGACGAGACAGTTTTAGATTAGCTCGATGTAGCCTTTGATCGCTTTTCTGGTGATGATGTAAACTATCTGTAGAATACCTTCCGATCACTTTGTAGCTATTGCCTAGACAATTTTATTCCTAACAAAACTAGAAAGCAACATCCCGAAAATCCATGGATAACTAGAAAAATCATTCAAATTGCACGGAAAGTAAAGCGTATTAGAAAACATAACTCAAAAGGATTGCCACTTCAGAAATAAAAAAGAATGCTCTCAGAAAGAATTCGGTCCAGCAAACATGTATTTCATTCTGTTAAATTACCCCAATTACGTAACGGTGATCTAGCCAAGTTTTGGCGTCACTTAAAAGTTAATCAACAGAAATCTAAAGATTGCATTGTGCTTGGGGATCACATTATTCAAGACGAGAAACAAATTGCCACAGAATTCAACCGTTACTTGTTCTCTGTTTTTTCCAATCCATGCTCATTTATTAGTGTCATTGGCAGTACTTCAGTAGAAATTGATTGTGACTTCATAACGTTTGATAGTGTTTTTTCCATGCTTGTGAACCTTAATTCAAAATCTTGTGGTCCGGACAACCTGCCAAATATATTTACGTCGTTATGCTGAACCGCTATCCCACTTTCTTGTAGTAATATTTCCTTTATCAATATCTCAAGGCATTGTTCCCTTAGACTGGCGCATCGCTCGAATAATTCCGGTAGTTAATAGAAGAAATACCACTTTTTTGTCTAACTACGGACAAATATCACTTACCAGCACTTGTTGTAAACTTCTAGGGCACATAATTTCTAACTATATGATTAAATTTCTAAACGAGCGCAACGTACTATCACTATCCCAGCACGGGTTCCGTAAAGGTCCATCCACGACAACCCAATTAGTTTCCTGTATGCATTCTTTCTCCTCAGTCCTAGATGAATCCGGTCAAACTCACGTCATCTTCCTTGACTTCAGCAAGGCAATTGATAAACACCCCACTCGAAATTATTTCACAAACTTAAATTCTTGGTTTTCCCTCGACCATTGTTAATTGGGTAACATCGTATCTGTCTTCTTGCACACAGCTTGTTGATATAAGCAGTACCTACTCCAATCCTCTTCCTGTGAACTCCGGATTTC